ATGAAAAGACATGTTTTCCTAAGTTTAAAATTATGTTTCCCAACTCTATTTCCAAACTAATAATGTCACATTGGAGATGGCGTTGGTGGGTCGTCCAGTGTGAGCTCTTAATACCCACCCACCCCCGGCACACCTCCACATGGGCCGACGCCGAGTCTCCCCGCCGCCAGACCGTGCGGAAGCACGCCAGGAACCTCCCCCCTGGCCTGGAGATATCCGGTCGACTGAAAACGCTGCGTTTAAAGCGTTCACGGTCCACTCTCCTTGGGTCTGAACGGCTTTGCCTCCTTTCCGGGGGAAAGGTGTTGCGTTAACTCCCCCCACCGTCCAGGGAGTTGTCCGGTCAGGACGTAAGCGGGGGACGAAACGGTTGCCTAGGAGCGGCTTTCTCAGGGCCGCGTAGTTTTTTCCCAAAACTATTTCCCAAATCTATGGCCCAACTATATTCCCCAAATATATTCCCCAAATATGTTCCCCAACTATATTGCCCAACTATATTGCCCAACTATATTGCCCAACTATAGTGCCCAACTATAGTGACTAATTATATTGTAGAACTATATTTCCCAACTATATTGCCCAACTATATTCCCCAAATATACTCCCCAAATATGTTCCCCAACTATATTGCCCAACTATATTGCCCGACTATAGTGCCCAACTATAGTGCCCAACTATAGTGACTAACTATATTGTCCAACTAAATTGGCCAACTATTTTGCCCAACCACTCACCCACCCAGCATACAGCCCTATATCTTATCCAATACAAAGAAATACAATACTTGATGAAGGAGGAGTTTGTGCCTGTGAGCTTTACAGAACGATTTTTATCCGATGACATTTCCCTTAAATAACGTAATGGAAACAACGTAAACATTATTAAAGACATGAGAGAGAGAGAATGTGAGGGAGAGATAGAGGGGACAAGAGAGGAAGAGAGAGGGAGGGAGAGAGGAAGACAGAGGGGGTAGAGAGACAGAGGAGAGAGAGAGGAGGAAGAGAGAAGGGAGAGGAAGATATAGGTAGAGAGAGGGTAGAGAGAGAGTGAGAGAGAGGGAGAGAGAGAGAAAAGGGTAAATGAGTATCGGGACAATAAAGAAGCTGAAATAAAACTTCAGACTAACTCAGAAAAAGAAATCATTTATGATATCTCTAGCTTTTATGAATTTAAGTTTCCTGAAGTGGAGCATACACACACACAAAAAAAAAAAAAATTGGTTATTTTGTTAAACTGATGTTGTCAAGGCTCAGCCATCAAGGGAGGAGCCAAATCCCACTGGTCATCAATATTGCTTTCCTTGCAATCTGAAATGTCTATTTACTGCCCTCGAGTAAATAGGATGAGAAAAAAAATCTGTTTTAAAAAGGTTTTGTGCCAGAATGCTAATCCCATTCCCGGGATGTCTCACGGCGATTCCCCCGACAGTACCTTCTGTCTGTCCAACACTTATTTATCACGTTCTACGTAATCAGCACTGACCACTGGTTGTCTCGAGACCCGCTTCCCAAACAATCCGATTCTGCCCCTTATCTCATCCACCCCACCCCCTCAAAAAAACTTTAAAAAAAAAAAAAAAAAATCCGGAGCCTTTTCAAATTTAAAAATAAAAAAAAAAATTAACTTCAAAGGCAAATTGGTCTTATTTATCACGTTCTACGTAATCAGCACTGACCACTGGTTGTCTCGAGACCCGCTTCCCAAACAATCCGATTCTGCCCCTTATCTCATCCACCCCCCCCCCTCAAAAAAACTTTAAAAAAAAAAAAAAAAAATCTGGAGTCTTTTCCAATTTGAATATGAATAAGAAACTGTACTTCTAAGGCTAATTGGCTAGACGTTCAAATAGTTTGTTTATAAACCCACCACAGAGCTTGTCAACTCCTATGATCAACTGGGTTGATTCATTCATCAGGCTTTTTCACGCGTTGAAGTACGTCGTACTAATATTGAATAAACTCAAGTCCCTTATCACAATGAATGTAACTTTAATCTCTTATCATTAACTCAGGCCGTAAACTCCATACACGCATGAATGTAGCGCAGCTCGCTATCAGACAGAAATAATGCACATCCTACCTCCACCAAGTTCCATTTCACGACTGCCGCACAACTAAAACTTACGTCACGATACAGTCTAGACAATACGTCATAATGAGCATAAACATACGTGAAAAGTGTCCAGCGCGGGAAGAGCGTTCACTAACTTATAAAACTCTCGAACGCACACCTCACGTAGTACACATAACATTCAGTCGCAGCATTCATCAATGAACTCCCATGCTCGACATTGCTCTCCATAAGTCTAAAGGAGAAATATGTTTACACTGAGTAAAGTTCTTGAACAGCATGTTGTTCATTTCAAATAAGTCTTAACATAAAAAAAATTAAACAATACCCCCCCCCCCCCGCAAAAAACACCAAAAAAACCCATAGTTTTTTCGTAAAAATCCTTGATATGCATTTTAAATGTTGATTTTACCCTATACACACGACGTTATTATAAATGATTTAAAAATTACTGTTTATTCTCTGAGGGTGGTGAATCTATTTGGCACCGGAAGCACCCGCACTGAACGAGTGGTGGGGATGATGGAATGCTTTCATAGCGCTTGTGTCCACGCTATTTCAGCATGCCCACAACGCTCTGATGTCCAGGGGTGTGAGGAAGCGATGTGCGTGCAGACGGTCGGACATTTCCAAAGTACACTATCAACTGAAAACTTACATTGTCAAATACGAGTATTTTGAAAATGTATGTTTCGCTAACTTTAATTTTCATTTATTTAAATTTATGAAAATTTGCAGTCATGTTTTTCTAACATTAATGTATTATTATAAAGAAATTTGTAAATCCAGCTGCATAACTAGCGTGGTGTATATTAAACAAAATAAATGTATTTTGATTACATCAAAGTTGAGCATGACCTAAATCTGTTACGCATTTCATTTGGTTTAGAGGGTACATGAGAACCTGTATCCAATGACGACAAGCTCATATAATCTCCAACAAAACAGTAAAATGACAAGGGGATATTATTTAAGAAATATAAACTTACTTTTTATTAGCAATATTTTATTAATTGGTTATGGGAGATGGAGGAAGTGAGTGGGCGCATGGTGGGGAAGGATGTGGAGGGGAACTTGTATCAGGTTATTTCTCAAGTCACACTATTACATTCCAAAATATGGGGACAATTTTGTGCTCAATCGAAAATTATTTATTGAAAAATGAAAAGAATAGTTTAGAGGCTGGGTTGGGTAGAGAAACAACCCATTGATCAAGATTTGCAAATGAATAAAATATAACATAGATAGTTTGTAGTAACTTGAACATGAACACAACAACAACATAAAGAGGAATCTTATAGTCATTGCCACTTTGGTAAACGAACGACTGTTTCAGAGTAGCCCAATCGCCGTGACATTACTATTGCTGATTTGTAGTTGCCAGGAGTACATTCACTAAGCTCGGTGCTTAAGGTAAAACAGTCTTTGTTTTATTTAGTTGTGAATTTTTTGTTGTTGTTTTTTTTTTAAAAATCAAGATACCCTTTAGATTTAAAATCAAGATACCACTTAGAGCAGTGTTTCCCAGCTTGTTATGTTTCATGCCCCATCTAAGACTTTCTGAAATTCTCATGCCCATGTATCATACATATGTGTTTAATATTAAAAAAACAGGTTTGTTCACTGAAGAAACTGAAATGATCGGTTTTCGGAAGAAATCATTAAGTAATTGGTGAGGAAACTTGGTCAGGAAATTTTCAAAACCTGTAATGGAGAACTGAAATTCAAGTACGAAAGAATTTTAATGAAATTTTTTTCCATATCATTTTAATTTTAAAAAATTATTTATTATTTAAATTTAGTTAGATGTTTGTGATTGATGCTTGCTGCAAAGAGATTTTATGTTAGGTTCCAATTTAGTTGACCTCAGTCTCAAGTCTCAAGTCTCAAGTATCAAGTCTCAAGTCTCAAGTCTCTCCGCTGTGTTATATCCAGCCGATCTTTTTTTTTAAAATATATTTTGCAGCCAATCATTCATGGCACTAAATCCACATTCAGCTAAATATGAAGATGAAAACGGTAACAATAGTTTTCTTGCAAATTTGGTTTAATTCGGATATTTGATTTCTGTTTCCTAACAAAGCCATGCCATCGCTCATTTGTATTAAATAAAGTTTTGACTGACTCATCAATTTGCATTTCTGCGAATTCTTCCTATAAATGCATATTTGAAATATCAGAGAAATCCACTAACATTGCTGCATCATCCAAGTTGGAAAATCAATTTGTTTCAAATCAAAAAATGTTTCTTTTAAATCAACCGATAGAATTGTCATATGATCCGCAATAACACGTACAGCAGTATCAGTCATTTCACATTTTTGGAGCCATTGAAACTTTTCCAAATTTTTGTTGTAAATATTTTTCTGACATAATTCAATAAATGTAATGAAAACAAATATCTTCGCTTCTACGTGGACAAGAGCTTTATTTGTTTCTTGAAGTGAAGTTGGCTATTTAATATATTTAGTTTTTCAAAGATATCGACTAAATAACTCACAAATGCTTTACCATCGACTGTTAACAGATACTTCATACCAGGTTTGTCACTTAAAAAAATCGCAAGAGTATCAAATAGTTCCATCAATCATTTCAAGCAATTCCCTTTCGAAAGGCATCTTACTTCAAAGTAAAGTAAAAGTCTCACAGAGTCTTCACAAAATAACGCGAAAAGACATCCCATTTGACATTAGCCTTGATTGCATTGATACACTTTAGAACTGAATTTAGTACTCCCTTTAGAACAGGCGAAATCTTTTTAGCTACCAAGTTTTCCCTATGAATAACACAATGCACAAGTAGCATTTCTGGATTCTCCTCTTTCATCAATTTTAAGCAGCCATTTTACTTGCCCGTCATATTGGGAGCACTATCTGCAGCACAAGATGTTATATTTTTCTTTGGAATATTATTAAAATCTAAGTAATTCTTTAGCATATTATATATATATATATATCTTTGGCGGTAGTGGTGCTTCCTAAAGATTTAGATAAAAGTTCTTCAGGAAAATACCCTTTATCAATATTGATAAATGCATTCATTAATACACCCTCACTGTCTCTCAAAGTTGATTCATCCATTAGCACTAAGAATTTTCTTGTTTTCAGCTTTTCAGCAGGTTGTATTTCAATATCTTCACTCATTTCGTCTATTCTTCTGCTAACAGTATTGTTACTGAGTGGCATAGCTTTCATGTCTTTGTCATCTTCTTTCCAGATCAGTTTTAAGAAATGCTGACATTGGTGCTTTCTTTACATACTCTCCTATTGTATGATTTTTTTCTCTCCAGATTTAGCGATGAGTGAGGAAATTTTATAACTAGCCTCAAGAGTACGATGGTAAGTGGCAGTATGAGCAGCAACTAGAGACTTTAATGTTGCTCTTTATTCAATAGTTTTCTTTAAAATTTGAAAGTAATTCAAATATGACTTAATATTTTCGAATTGACCCCCTAAACAATCAATAAACTCCCTTGAAGGGCTTGGGCCCTACGTTGGGAAACACCGCTTTAGAGTATTTGTATTATTATTTCTTATTTATCAAGTGGGTCTATAATATATTTCCATTAGGTTGATGATGTCCTGATGTGACAGTGACAGATAAAGACTTAGCTATCCAATCACCCCTGTAACACTAACAACGGGGTGAATGGTTACATGAGGTAGCAAACACCTTGACTTTGCAAGGCACACGTCAATGCTATCAATTTTATGTTCGACTATAGCTGCCATCTTTCAGTTAAGTAAATTCAATTCCAGTAAATCGCCTGGAGGAATTCCCTCTATTCCATTCCATTCCATTTAATCTAAAAGTCGCTGTCATCAAATCTGATGGAGGCACTGGTGCAAATTCTGACCTCGCGATAACCTTTAACATATCACGTGCTGGGTTTAACCTAACTAACTGGTAGGGGAAAAAAAGTTGTTTTTCATCTAAAGTTTTTTTTGGGTTGTCTTTTTTTTATACTGGGCCATTGAAATAATTCTTAATTTTTAAAAATTCTGTCTCAGAAATAGATCAAAGTAGTTGATTGTAGAGGAAAATGTCAGACTCGCCTCAGGAAGGATATTATTATTATTATTATTATTATTTAGGCATTATTGTATAGCGCTTACCTTACAGCTCTAAGGGCTTTACAATTATTAAAAATGTGTAAACTATTTAAACTGCTAAAGTAAAATAAAAATGAAAAACCAGAGACACTAGAATAGTGACTGCAATGTGAAAAATGACTATAAAAACAGTAGCTAAAACATTAAAATGGCTATAAAAACAAGTACACTTGGCACATTTTGGCATATACTTAAATACATGATCAACCCGAGACAGAAAATGAGGCAGGGCAAAGAGGGTGCATCACATGTCATATGGGGACCTAAACAGATGGGATTTAAGGGAATTTTTGAAAGTGGACGAGGTTTCACAATGACGGATGTGGAAAGGGAGCTGGTTCCAGAAGGTGGGCGCATGGAAGTAGAAGGAGCGTTCACCGATTTTCTTAGTTTTGGTTTTTGGGATTGAGAGGGTTCTATTGTCAATTGAAGAGCGTAGTTGTCTTGTGGAGGTGTAAGGAAGCAACAGTTCAGAGAGATAGACAGAAAAGTGAGGGTCAGTGAAAGAGTTGAAGCATAGATTGGTAGACTTATACTTGATGCGTGAGGATATTGGAAGCCAGTGGAGTTGCTTCATGTGTGGTTGAATGTGGTCGTGTTTCTTTGATTTAAAAATGATTCTGCATGCTGAGTTCTGTGCCTTCTGAAGTTTGTCTCTGTGGTGTTGAGGAATGCCTGCGAGAAGAGTGTTACAGTAAGCAAATTTTGAAAAAATGAGTGAAGAGACGAGAGTTTTTGTGGTATCAAAGGAGAGGGGGTGTCTAATAGACCGACTTATTCAAAGAAAGGTTGCCGACCCGCCACCCCAACACCTCTAAACATAATTCTAATTCAGTGATTATGGCTGCCAGGTAACATTTCAACCAGTCGATGCTACACATCAAGACTACTTGGCCACCGAACCCGTTTCACCAGCGAGACCACCAGAGACAGGAGTCCATTGTGTTTGCAACCGATATAGGTCATTTAATCGGTGGCCTCAAATGCTGACAAAAATCTCTTTTCCTAACCCCTAAAGCGGTTCGGGGTTTTTATATGAGATATATAACGACGTAAGTTGAGATACTTGAAACATTTTTTTTAATAAGTAGAACAATGTATGTGGTGAAACAGCATCAAAGGTTGAAAAAAGCTTACATAGAAACCAAAGATTTCAATATATCTTTTTTTCAAAATAAGACGTAGCGAGCCCGACACACTGCGAGTAAACTGCCTCCACCTCAAAATCCGATAAGGATATTTAAAAAAATGCAACATTGCAGCTATTATCCATACATCAGCTTGCCTGGTAACAGGTTTGATGTTTCTAGGATGACCAAAATGCCATGTTAATTATTTATTTAAAAAATCGATAACCTCTGCTTTAAACAAAATATTTTGTATTTTCTTCTATTAATTGTTGGTATAGCAGATTTTTTTGGTTTTTCATTTCGCGATTCTTTCATCTCTGAGCTTAAGCCGTTAAAACGTGCTTTGATTTAGTTTCTTTAACGACACCCACACCAGGCCGTCTTCACCCGACTGTCTTCACCAGACCGTCTTCACCAGACCGTCTTCACCCGACCGTCTTCACCAGACCGTCTTCACCCGACCGTCTTCACCCGACTGTCTTCACCAGACCGTCTTCACCAGACCGTCTTCACCCGACTGTCTTCACAAGACCGTCTTCACCAGACCGTCTTCACCAGACTGTCTTGAGTCTAATGGTACCTGTGTGCGAATGGCGGCGCTGCGTGTCTGGGTCCATTTTGACTCAGTGCTATTCGGATGACATTTGTGGTAGTTTAGCTTAGTTAAACTGGAGAATTAAGTTTACAAACATATATCCCATTCAATTATCTTTCATTTGATACCTCATTTTGTCTTACAAAACCCCAAAATAGAATTTAAATAGTTGTTTTTTTTAATCCCAACCTCTCCGCTCTGGTACCCGGGTGCGAATAGTCGCAGCCTTTTTACATTTTACTCTAAGTCACTTCCTTTCAATTCTTCATTACTAGGTTTCTGTCTGTTTTTTTCGCCCCACTCTTCATTTTTTCTCCCCCTTTTTAGGCAGGATATATATATATATATATTATATATATATTATATAAATTTAATTTATACTAATTTGTTTTGTTTTTTGTTGTTGTTGTACTGACGAAGGCATGTGCCGAAACGTATACATGTGATTATGTAAAATTGTTATTAAAGCTTCCATATTTTGTTATATGGACACCAATTGTTCGTGTCTAAGTAATCTAAAAAAAAATGCACACTGCTCTTTTACTGTACAACAAGCCGATGTGTATCTCGCGCATTGGTTTACATAAAGTTCTATAGCGCATAAGCCAAACTCTTGTGGCTTCGAAGTATAGGTGACGCTATTGACAAGATTTACGAATTTAAAAGATTCGTTACTTAGTGACTTAGCGTATGACACGGGCAGCGCTATTTGAAGGTCCGTTATTTCCCGGTCTCACCGTAAAACTGAACACACAGGATTATATTTGAATTATAAATATCTTTCTTTATACATATACACTTGAAGTATTTTATACATATATAGATACTATATTAATTTCATGGATGTGTAAAGGACCCTCGACTGTTCACATAAAGTCATCCTGTCTTCCATAATATTTGCAATTTTAAAAGCTTCATACCGTAACAAAATAGCATTTCAACACTGCCTCGCTATGACTGAGTATGGCAAAATAAGTAGTGCAACCAAATTATAACGAACACAGCTGTCATATAACTCGTTGTCCTGTCATAAACACTTGAGATGGAAATGTTGTAAGGGGGATCAGAGATATACAGATTTTCAAAATAGAGTCATTGTGGAAGCTAGGTGTTAAGACGGATTACAACATCGGAAACAGGGAGAATTTGGAGGAAAAAGGGGCATTTAACCCTTGTTTTTGCTCCAAATGACCCGCGCTCTGTACAGTTACGTCGGCCACCGCTAATCAGACAATTAGTAGGCGATTGTTACAGATGTCCGGCTTGTCGACCAGAGGGACATAGCGTCGATACCAACTGAGACAAAGCGCCAGCATAAGATAAAAATAGCCATCCCATCGGTCGTCTCGATGGCAAAGCTCTTGGTTTGTGCGATGTGAGATCAATAGCAAAGGATATTTGGGACGAGTCTCTCATTCTTGGCGTCACTAAAACAAAAACGGATTTCGAATATTACGAATGAAACCTCGACGTTTCCTTGTCGATTTCTTCATGGCTGTCACTGTCTTGACTGTCACTGTCTTGACTGTCACTGTCTTGACTGTCACTGTCTTGACTGTCACTGTCTTGGCTGTCGCTGTCTTGGATGTCACTGTCTTGACTGTCACTGCCTTGACTGTCACTGCCTTGACTGTCACTGTCATGGCTGTCACTGTCTTGACTGTCACTGTCTTGACTGTCACTGTCTTGACTGTCACTGTCTTGACTGTCACTGTCTTGACTGTCACTGTCTTGACTGTCACTGTCTTGACTGTCACTGTCTTGACTGTCACTGTCTTGACTGTCACTGTCTTGGTTGTCGCTGTCTTGACTGTCACTGCCTTGACTGTCACTGCCTTGACTGTCACTGTCATGACTGTCACTGTCTTGACTGTCACTGCCTTGACTGTCACTGCCTTGACTGTCACTGTCATGACTGTCACTGTCTTGACTGTCACTGTCTTGACTGTCACTGTCATGGCTGTCACTGTCTTGACTGTCACTGTCTTGACTGTCACTGTCTTGACTGTCACTGTCTTGACTGTCACTGTCTTGGCTGTCGCTGTCTTGGCTGTCGCTGTCTTGGCTGTTGCTGTCTTGGCTGTCACTGTCTTAGATATCACTGTCTTAGATGTCACTGACTTAGCTGCCTCTGTCTTAACTGTCACTATCGTAGCTGTCACTCTCTTAGACGTCACTGTCTTAGATATCACTGTCTTGGCTGTCACTGCCTTAGCTGTCAGCGTCTTAGCTGTCACCGTCTTAGCTGTAACTGATGCAGCTGTCACTGTCTTAGCTGTCACAGTCTAAGATGTCAGTGTCTTAGCTGTCACTTTCTTTGTGGTCACTGTCTGCGCTGTCCATGTCTTTATTGTCACTGTCTTAGCTGCCACTGTCTCGGCTGTCAATAAGCA